AAATATTAAATTTGAACCTGACCCCTGTGAGCAAGTAGCTTTGACCACTCTTGTAAAGTTCATACCCCCTTCTTCAAAGGTAACGATTCGATCCGACCCCATAACAAAATGTTTAAAAAAAATATTAAATTTTATTTTTTAATAATAATTATTATTAAAAAGATATTTTGAATCTGTTAAGAATATAAGTTAGAAGAAAAAAAAAATCATCTTTATACTTTTCTAAAAAATTGACCAACAATTTCATTGAAAATATTCATTGAATAATTCAACTCATAAGTTATCTTTATCCTTTTGTTGACTTGCTAATTCCTAATTTTGCGCTCTTACAGCTACCTATTTGCTTAAATTAAGGAACGCAACAACCAATGAACGGTCACATGCTTTTGCTTTTAGGAACGCTCTTTGCAACAGCCTATTTGCTAAAGTAACGCAACAACCAATAATATTGATCACATGCCTTTGCTCTTAGGAACCTCAGTGGAGTGCGTTTAATACTGACCAAGTGTTGTTTGTCGAGGGATTACAGAAATCTAAATATTTAGCTCAAAACACTATCATTTGCATTGTAAATTCAGACGATAAAGGGAAAGCAGTGGCTTGGAACTGGAGAGAAGAGTATCAAATAGAAAAGTGCCTGACTTGAAGAAAATCATATTTTCGGAGGAATTTTCAGGACATATGGTATGGATACATTTACCATATTTTTTATTATTAATTTCTTTTAAAAATAAAAATTAGTCTCATAAAAAATAATAAAATTTAATTTTAATTTTAGCAACCATCTAATTAAAATGTGATATATATAGATGCACTATTAGTGTTGAAAATAAAGTTTATTTTCGTAATTTTATAAATATTAATGATAAAAAGATATAATAAATATAACAATGAAGTATAAATTAAATTTTTTTTTTCTAACTTATGTCTTAAAAGTGCTTAATTTAACAAATTATCTATTAATTACTACCTATTTTTTATTTTAATCTAATATTTTTATTTTTTTTCAAACTCACATACTAACTTTGAAAATTATTTCATTTTCATCTAAGGTAACTCCATTAACTCTATTAACGAAATTTCACTTGTGCTGCCACATGCTACCATGGAAGCAGCTACGTGGCAGAAAAGATTTCCTACCTCATTGTTTCTCTTTAAATTTTTTTGGCTATCGTTTTCCTTTAGTTAAAACAAAACATGTTGCTAGAAAAATAATAAGGGTTTTTTAACGTGTACTTAAGGATATAAGTTAATAATATATTTTTGTTATAAATGTATATAAAAAATGTACAAGTTGATATTAATCTTAATATTAATGTTAAATGATTGAATTTAATTGAACAAGTAATCAATTAAAGGTTGATTTTTATTTTTTTCAATATAAATTTATGACGAAAAGATGTATTTAATGCATTCTTAATATGAACCTTTAGGGCATAAGTTAGACAAACCCACATAATAAAATGAAAAATAAACATTTTAAAAGAAGATTTTTTTAACTAGCGTCCTTAAAATATAAGTTAA